AGGTACCACATCCTTTGGTACGGTACCCTATTGCGCCCTCGACCTTGCGGTTTGAATCGTGGCTTCTTACAAAATCGACATTCTTCTAACTTCTCATCATCTCCCCAGTAAATCATGCATTTGTCGATGCAAACGTCTATCATCTCCGAGGGCAACCCAAGACTATATACCAATTTCTGAATCTGATAATAAGATTCAGAAGACACATTGTCTTATGGCAAATACTCTTTAAACAAGTCTGCCCATGCATCCATACAATTTTCAAGTAGATTGTGATCGGTTTTAATACTCATCATTCTAGCAACCAACGACAATTTAGATAGACCTTCTCTACAACCACTGTAAATTGGCTCATTTGCAGCTTCTAACATTCCGTAAAACTTTTTTGCATCTAAGTTAGGTTCTTCAACTTCATCATCATCATGAGTTACAAATGCATCACCTACCATATCATGAACCCTATCACAATCTACCATTTGTTCCTCTTGGTGATGATCATAGCTATAACTACTGCTACCTTCATTACGCAAATGATCAACCGGTAATTCAACCTGATTACTACTGCTACCTTCNTGCTATTGCAGCATTTCCGACAAGGACAGAACATCTTACCACTTTCCTGCGTGAGTGGTGTAGAATCTGCTTGATGCATGAACGTCTCCAACCCTTCCAGAAATTCGTTCGTCACCCTCCCGTTATTATCTCTGTGTGAATACATCCACTGCCGCAACTCGAAAATATTTCCCGGACCGGACATTTTTTTGTGTTTGATTAAGCTTATAGCTGATTTTTGTTTTGGTGTGTTTCAAATGAATCACATAAGGTGGTATTTATAGAAATTTTCGAATCTGAGCATTTACTAGGAAATTGCTAGGAAAAGTAGGTACAAAACATGTGTTTTATTTAAATTCGATATTTCCTATCCATTTCCTCCTAATTTCGTATTAATAAACTGTTTCCTCCTAATTTCGTAGTAATATTTTACTACGCCTTTACGAGGAAAGTCTTTACTACGGCTTTACGAGGAAAAGTACTTTTTCCTCGTAAGAACCTTGTAAATTTACTAAGGTCTTACGAGGAAAATATTTTCTCGTAAGTTTTCGAGGATCTTACGAGGAAATTTGCTTTCCTCGTAAGATCCTAGTAAATGCTTAATAACTTTACGAGGAAGATTTTTCCTAGTAAAATTTCCTAGTAAATGCTTAGTTTTCTTGTAGTGATAGTTATGACAAAGTTGTCGATATACTTAACCAGGGTCAACAATCTATTTTCCCTCAAGAAGTATCGTATAGCACCAAATGTCCACGGAAATATGACCCTGTTCTATTTATCCTTGAGAATAAAGTTTGCAACCTATTTTCCCACCAAATTAAAATTATATCGATATTTTCCCACATTTATAAAGATCAAAATCTACAAACCCACAAAATCGATTTTTATTGGTTTATTGTTTATAAACAAACCGTAGATCATGTTAAGCCAATGACTAATCGGATTAAGATTCAATCAGTCGGATATTTTTAAGTTCGAATGTTGGATCGGGTTACTGTTCAGATCTATATCAGGGTTTGGTCGGGTTTTTAATTTTGTCTTGGTTTAATTTTGCTCGGTTTTATTATATGAGAGTGGAGATTTGAAATTCGGTTTTCAAAAATCATAACTAAACCAAATTTGGTAGGGAAATAGGTTGCGAACTTTATTCTCGGGGACAAACAGAAAGGGGTCATAGTTCTGTGGACATTTAGTGCTATATGATACTTCTTGTGGGGAAATAGATTATCTACCCAATAGAGATTTCAGAGGAAATAAAGAGTCATATTAAACATAAAGTAAATTTACAAAAAGAGAAACCTTTACAGTCTTTTAAGAATGTAACAAAAGACCTAAAAAGTTTGATGCATAAGGGACCTAAACATACATTCACTGAACAAATCTAAATTATCTAGCTGGAAGGTTGAGCTGTGGGATGTGCATCAGTAGGAGCTCCTTGTTGAGGAAATTGTTTGGAGGACCTGAGTGATTGATGTCCTCGTTACTGCCATGTCTGCCTTCACCCCTGCCACCTCAGCAACATCAGCCATCACATATTGGAATCTTGACTCCAAACCAGTCACATGCATCTCCATCTCGAGGTTGTGGGCAAGAGACTATGGAATTCTGCTGATGCAGGGTGCTCCCTGTATTGGGCACTGCCGGTCCATACACATGCCCTTTTTAGCTTGAGTAGTCTGTGAGAATTAAAGCAAACGGATTAGAACTGACAAACCAAACACATTGCAAAGCAACTCTAACTCTAACAACTTAAACCTTTGCATAATTAAACTCAAGGCAACTCTATCTCGAACAACTTAAACCTGTTAACATAACTTAAACTCTATCCACATCCTAAGGCAACTCTTTCTCAAACCACAGTAGATTATAAACAACTCTAACGCTTGAGATTATGACTTAAACAATAGATTTTAAACAACTCTAAGTAGAAGACTAACCTTGAGATAGGCTTGGTTTAAGAAGATGCTATAAGGAGCAGAATGCAACATTTATACTAAGATTATTTAGCTGATGTTATCATATGTTGCGAATGAAGTCAATAATATCAAAACCTTTCCACGATGAAAAACTAAAAGTTAAAGAAAGAGTGTTTCATCTTAACACAAATCATTTTTGATTTTGAAAATTAGTACCACGAATTTTTATCATTATATAAATCCATAGTTAAGCAAAATTAGGGCTGTGATAAAATGGCCGAAACAATAAGAGACCAAAGTAATGTCCCCATATCAAATTTTGATTATTGACGCTTTTTAGTCTCGCAAACACATAAGCATCCATACAAGTCATCAGTTCTCATCATAGTAGTTCTGCAGAATCTGCGTTCTCACAGACACAGGAATAATCACGTTATGCACATTGTCAGTCCAAATCAAGCTTCCGAAGTAGTACCCAGTGTTGACTTTGTGTGTGGTCGAGACTCGAACGGAAAACGAGACACTTTTGGTTTTGGAGTTAAACACTAGTTTCTTGGGCGTCACAACCACTCTAACCCCAAGCGGAGGCTCGACAACGACTTTATAGACAGAATTAACTGGTCCAACGTTAGTGACGGTTCTTGAGAGAACGACTTCATCTTTGAGATTTGGAATGGTGATTGAAGGCAAGTTCATATCTAGAACAGAAGGTTTTGGGTCTGTACAGACTGTTCTTTTACCGACAAGCTGAGAGATAGATGAGTCGTTGTAACCGACAGAACATAAGTAGAGAAGGTAGTCTTTTGGGCCCATGTCGTATATGAGACCAGGTTCTGCAGCTTTCTCTGGGTTCACAAGGCCTCCACCGTAATCAAACGGGTCAGCTACTTTGCGAGATGACCCTTCAGCAGGTAACTGCTCTCCAAACGGATCTGTTCTCCAAGCTGCAATGTGAGGACAATTATTGTGTTAAAGAGGGACTCAAGTTTCTGTTTTGATAGGTTGTTTTCGTAATTAGAAGAAGGTAAGAACCTGTAGTGACAATAGCTGATCTAAAAGCAGCAGGGGACCAATCAGGATGCAAAGCTTTGAGAAGTGCAATAACTCCTGAAATTGTTGGAGCCGCCATTGATGTTCCTGAATACAAAGCAAATCCTCCAGCATTGAAGGTGCCATTGGGAGATGTAGCAGCTAATATGCGCACTCCCGGTGCTGCTATGTCTGGCTATATTGTGGAACAAGTAGTGTTTATTTTAAGTACTAAAGGGTAAAAATAAAAATAAAAAAAGTACTAAAGGGTGAGAGACAAAGATTCGGACATACTTTTAGAATCGCGGGAGAAATCGAGTTAGGTCCTCTTGACGAAAAAGTTGCCACCTTTGTCCCCACAGGTGGTCCTACGATTGTTCTTGAAGGTTGTATTTTCACAATAGGTGATCTGCAAGACTCCAGCAATTAATTATAATTTTTTTATGATTCTCTCTGTAACTTGTTAGAAGTTGAAGATATAAAAGGATAGTTTCATACCCATTGGAACGTATGTAGAAAAGTATATTAGTCCCAAGCTCGTAGTCGACAGCCACACAGGGGAAATCATCTTTACATGGATTGAGAGTGTACCCCGGATTTCTTGCAATGATCAGTCCAATACCGCCAGCTCTTTTCACAAAAGACGCAGCTCTTGATACAGTACTGTAACCTGTTGTTGTTGTGAAACACAGCACAACTTCCCCATCCATTGTACGGTTGGAGTTGAGATTAAGGGACTCACACTCACTGCAAAATACACACAGATTCAGTAAGAGATCAAAGAATGATGCACATAAGTGAAAACTGAGATTTGATATCATTAATTACCCAGAAAATGTCTCATTACTGTTTCCTGGATCCTCTGGGTAAACCAAACTAGTAAAGCCAAGTTCCGGACCGGTGTACATTGCTTGACCCTGATGTAACAGCGGATATAGCCATAATCAGAGAGTTTCAAGGCTTGTCAACAAATAGAGAAACATTTCTTTAAGGAAAAATAAAAATGTGTTTTACCAATATCACTTTATTGTTCCCAAGTGTAATAGGTGTAGCAAATGACCGGTCTAGAGTGGTCGCAGCCACTGTTACTATCCAAGGAGCCGTGTTCACAACGGTCTGAGCTGATGGGCCACTGTTACCACCAGCACAAACAACCGTAATACCCTTTGCTACTGCATGGAATGCTCCAGTAGCAATCCCATCACGCAAATCAGTTTCGGAAAACAGAGGAACCCGGCTACCTAGAGAGAGTGACAAAACATCAACACCATCATGAATAGCATCGTCCATTGCTTTCATGATATCAGAAAATGAACAAGTCACTCCTTCCAGCTCTTCAAGATACCAACAAGCCTTGTACATTGCTATCCGAGCACGTGGTGCACCACCTCTCAAGGTTCCTCCGGCGAGTCCCTTGTAGCTCAAGTTACGAATAAATGAACCACCAGCAATGGAGGCGACGTGCGTTCCATGGCCGTTAAAGTCTCTAGCAGAAATGTAATCAGGTGATTTTGTGGAATTGAATCCGTCGTTTTCAGCAAGAAACCCATTGATATAGTACTTGGCTCCAATAAGTTTTTTGTTGCAATTGGTTGACTTGAACTTTTCTCCTGGTTCACACCCTCCTTTCCATCGCTTTGGTATTGGTCCAACCCCATTGTCCCTGAATGATTCAGACTCTGGCCACACTCCTATATATCACACGTAGCCATAAGTCACTGCGGCACTAAAATGAAGGAATCGAAAAGCAACAAAAGCAAATATAAATCTACTTATACCTGTGTCAATAACTCCAATGATAACTTGGTCACCCATGTTTGTATTATTTAGGAGATTTTTTGGATTGGCAGAAGAGAGGCCTAAATAGTCCCAAGTCCGAGTTGTCGCAAGTTCATAGTAACCATCAGGCATGACATGAACAACTTCAGGTGAATCTGTTTCCAGAATTACGTCCATCAGCAATAATATAACATATAGCTGGCAGAGCTCATCAGATTGCATTGCTATAAATCCAAGACTTGGTATTACTTAAGACAACTAATGAGTACCAGCGAGTTTCTTGGCTTGGTACTTGGTGAGCCTTGCTGCAAATCCTGAAAAGCCATGTCGGTAACTATACACCATTGAGTCATGTGCATCCTCTTTACTGTGACTCGAACATTAAAAACTCTTTGTTAATGCCATAACGAGTCAATATTCAAATTGAATAGTTAATCAATCAGCTCTGCACCTTCCAAGTAGGGACGACAACATCTGGTGATGAGATTCTGTGACATGCTTGGGATCATCATGTTGCTTCTCACCCAAATACACTATATGAACCTGTAAGAATATCAGCAAAAAGGTTGATCATAACCTTTTTTTTTTTTAATTTCTGTGTTTTTTTTCTGTGTGACGAAGAAGATTCAACCTACCTTGCTCTTAGCATCAGCTCGTGCGACATTCAAAATAATTATAAGACTTAGCACAACAAGAACTAATGATCTAAAATTCTTCATGTCAAGCAAAAAAAGGGTGTCTTGTTTTTTTTTCAACCTGCTAGGAAAACTATATGAGGAGGAAGCACAATCATTAATATAGATGCATCATTCTACTTCTTGGAATGGTTCTTGGTCTTTTTGGAGGGTTCAAGTTCCATTATTTTAATCACAGATCAAAACTAAAGAAATGTTTATTAAATCTGTACAAGGTCAACTAAACTCTAGTTTATATGAACGTTTAGAGTCTACACAATCAACAAATGATTCGACAGAGAGTACCAGCAAATAAACCACCGTAACTATACCTATGACATGTTCATTTATATAAAAAAAAAGGTTCATATGTTAGTGGCAGTCCACAACTTGTTATCATCTTCCCTAATATCCTAAGCTCCAAAGAAAATGTCTCTGTTGATCACACAGCATGATTAGTTACAATCAGTTGGTTGACCCAAATAAAATAGTTACAATAAGTTTATGTACAAATTTTAGAGCATTGTGTATCAACCATTATATATATACTAAGACCACCTCCATTAGAGGGTTTAAAGAGCATTATTATCCATGTCCCTATTTTTTTGTCCTTAATATTTTTTATTATTATTTCTAGCTTAGGACAATATTAAGGACTTTTAATGAAAATTAGGATTATTGGTGGGACTTAACGTTGGTCCTTAGGGTAAATTCATTTGTTGAAAAAGGTGAAATTCATTTGTTGAAGAAGGTGAAATTTGTGAATCAAGACGCAGAGTAGTATCAGCGGTGGCCTATGTTTCTTGGACATGAATGGAACAGCCCAAGATCTTACTCTCTCTCAATCAAATCTGGCAGCTTTGTTCGAACACCTGTTCCAAGACATACATACATTGATCGAAATCTCAGAGAATAAGGAGAACTCAATTTCATCAAACAAAGATGCAAATTACCCAAAAACACAAAAGAAAACTACGAATTGAAACTAACGATTTGTGGAGGAAGTATTACCTCAATTCAACTTCTCCTTTTTTGAATTTGATTAGAGAATTTCATAGTATCAAATGATTAATCGAATCGCAATTATCTCTCTCTTTCAATGAAAGAAGGAAAGGAGTGGTAATCATCTAGAGAGAGTCGGGAAAGAACAAGAGAGAGTTGTGAGACGAGGAAGGGGATCTGCCTCACACTGATAGCTTCGACAAATCGCAAGCTGCCACCTGTTTCCAAGGACCAGCCCAAAAGTTTCTTAATTTGGAACTTTCAGACAAAATTTCTTCGTGTATTTAGCCTTTTTTATTTTTTTTAGGTCCAAAATTCATAAGGACCATGTTCAAGGACCTTGATAATCATGGTCTTAGAGGAGTTCTTAAGCAAAACAAAAAAAATAGAAAAATCAAAAATGCGTTCACACCATAGAACCGCTGTCAAAACAGGGAGTTTAAGAATTACTTGGAACCCCTGACGTGTCCTTTGTTACAGAAGAAAGGAGGTGGACAGCTGGCAGTTATTGAGTGGTAGGAAGGAGGTTGTTAGAAGACGTTAATGAGTAATTGAGAAGAGACACGTGGAGCGAGTTAGTTGAGCTGAGTTAACTAGGTGACTCGTTAGTTAGAAGTCAAGAGGATAAAAGGAGACGAGAGTTAGTTAGAATGATTCATTCAGAAGTTGTTGTATCTTCTTAACTTGTAAACTCTGGACTTCTCCTATTAATTCATTTTCGTTTAGAGGTTGTTCTTATTCAAGATCTCTTACGAGTGAATTGCACTTCATTGTTTTACGAACGGTGACGTGAGCTAACGGAAATTACAGTTTCATTATCATTGGTATCAGAGCCATTCTTCCTCGGTAACACAAGTCGGTGATCGGAATCTATGGCGGAAACACGTGCGGTGACGGCGTTGAAGGAATCTACGGTTCGAGAAATCGAAGACGCAGTGGTTAGCAAATTACAGTTGATGATGGAAGCTAACGCGAGTTTACAAAATCAAAAGATTGACCGGAGCATTGCCGATATGTTCGAAGCGATTAAACTCATGATGAAGAATACAGGCGATTCGGGATTAAATGGAGGAGAGATCCACCACGAAGGTTCACCGGTAGTATCGGCGATGGCGACACCGGTTATCAATCTCGATCAAAATACGCAACGGAATCAAAATCACTACTCAGGTTTGACTCGTCTATCGAGAATTGATTTCCCTCGATTTGATGGTTCTAAGTTGAAAGAATGGATTACGAAGGTGGAACAATTCTTTGATATTGATAAAACACCTGAAGAGTCTAAGGTTGGAATCGCATCTTTACATTTTGATAACCTTGCTTCGACTTGGCATCAAGCTTTGATACAAGAAGATGAAGATCGGATTATCTTACGAGATTGGAGAGCATATAAGTCGTTGTTGCGTTAAAGATTTGAAGAGATCTTAGATGATCCAATGGCAGAGTTGAAAGAGCTAAAAGAAATAGAAGGGATCACTGAGTATCATGCAAAATTCGAGCTCATAAGGTCAAGACTGAAGATGTCAGAAGAGTACTTGACAAGTGCATATTTGGCAGGGTTGAGAATGGATACTCAGATGCACATAAGGATGTTTAGACCTGAGAATACTGGTCAATGTTTGGTGTTGGGCAGGTTATATGAGAAGGCTCATTCCAGAAAAACATTGCCAGGCGCTTGGAGCAGTTCGAAGCAGTCAACGAGTAGTAACCAAAAAGGGTTACTTACATCACCACGAGAAGGCACAGTTAATAGTCATGTGGAGGAACGTAGGAGCAGTGAGAATAGTCCTCCTTTGAGGAAATTTTTAACTAGTGCAGAGATGAGTGAGAGAAGAGCTAAGGGTCTTTGTTACTATTGTGATAAAAAGTACACTCGTGACCATTATTTGAAGCATAAAAAGTCACAATTTTTCTTGATGGAGATGGATGAGATGGAGGAAGATGTAGGCGTAGCTGAGGTATGTGAGAGTGAGATGCAGCAGGAGAAAGATGTAGCGCAGATATCCATCAATGCTATATCTGGTCACACTGATTATACAACGATGAGAGTCAGGGGACTGCATGGGAAGAAATCGTTGTATATCTTGATTGATTCAGGATCTATGACCAAAAGATAGCACATTTGTTGGGTTGCAAATTGGAACCGTCTCTATGTTCTAAGGTTGCAGTAGCAGATGGAAGTAGCATTGAGATCAGTGGGAAGGTTAATCAGTTCAAATGGTATTTTCAGAATCATTTGTATCAAGATGATATCATGGTGATTCCTCTTGGATGTCATGATATGGTACTCGGAGTTCAGTGGTTGCAGAAGTTTGGTCCTATTACCTGGGATTTTCATGAGTTGGAAATGAAGTTTACATGGAAAGGTAAGAAGATTACGTTACATGGAATCAAACCAGGGTCAGTGAGGGAGGTTAAGGCTAAAAGATTGGAGAATTTGAAGGAGAATGACATTCATTTCACATGATATACACTTATGACGAGGAGGATAAGCAGTTGATGGCACTGAATGTGAGTGAGGAACAGACGAAAGACAGGTCATCTTTGCAGCCTGTGGAAGTGTTGATTGAGGAGCTTAAAGACATTTTTGAAGAGCCAACTGAGTTACCTCCATTCCGGGTCAACCATAACCACAAGATACAGTTAAATGAGGGTTCCAATCCAGTGAATCAGAGGCCTTATTGTTACGCAGTCTATCAGAAAAATGAAATAGATAAAATGGTCAAGGAGCTGTTAAAGGCAGGGACAGTGCATCCAAGCTCTAGTCCTTATGCGTCGCCGGTGGTGTTAGTGAAGAAGGAGGACAACACTTGGCGTTTGTGTGTTGACTATAAGAAGCTCAACAGTATGACAGTGAAAGATCGCTTTCCCATTCCTCTGATTGATGATCTAATGGATGAACTGGGAGGCTCGTCTGTGTATTCCAAAATAGATTTGAGAGCAGACTATCATCAAGTTCGAATGGAGAAAGATGATATTCACAAGACAGCCTTCAGAACACATAGTGGACATTATGAATATGTAGTCATGCCCTTTGGTCTCACGAATGCACCAGCCACATCTCAAGGATTGATGAATGCAGTTTTTCGAAGCTGTTTGAGGAAGTTTGTCTTGATATTCTTTGATGACATACTGATTTACAGCAGTAACTTGGACGATCACTTGTTACATCTGCGTGTGGTATTTCAGTTAATGCGTGAGAATCAGCTATTTGCTAAGCGTAGCAAATGTGCTTTTGCAACGGATCGTGTTGAGTATTTGGGTCATTTTATACAGGCAGAAGGGGTCTCAACTGATCCAAGCAAGATAGAAGCTGTAATGGCGTGGCCTATACCTATGAACGTTAAAGCACTGCATGGATTCTTGGGGCTTGCAGGTTACTACCGTCAATTTGTTAAGAACTTTGGTATCATTGCTCAGCCTCTTACGACGTTTACCAAGAAAGAAGGTTTTCATTGGAATGAGGAAGCATAGAAATCTTTTGAAGAGTTAAAACAAGCTCTGTGTTCTACACCGGTACTTGCTCTGCCTCAATTTGATAAGAGTTTTGTGGTGGAAATAGATGCGTGTGGTGCAGGTATAGGGGCTGTATTGATGCAAGATGGCCATCCTTTGGCTTACATTAGTAGGCACTTGAAAGGAAAACCGTTGAACCTGTCTATATACGGAAAGGAGTTGCTTGCTGTGGTGTTTCCCGTACAAAAATGGAGACATTATCTTCTGGTAAATCATTTTGTGATTAAGACAGATCAAAGGAGCTTGAAGTACTTGTTGGAGCAAAGGTTGAACACACCAATTTAACAACAATGGTTTCCCAAGTTACTTGAATTTGATTATGAAATCCAGTACAAGCAAGGCAAAGATAATGTTGCTGCAGACGCTTTATCACGTGTAGAAGGAGCAGAGATTTACACATGTCTATGTCGGTTCTTGATTGTGATTTGATGCAGAACATTAAGGATGGTTACCTACAGGACACAGCAATAAAGAAATTGATTGAGGAGTTGTCAGGTGATGCTACTATAAGGAAGTTTTATACGTGG